AGGTAAAACGTAGACCTTGTCATTTGTTCTTATCCATAGCCTTGCTGTAGACCTCTACAGTTTTGCATCATCCCAACTGTTGAATATTTTTTTCTGTATTCTAAATTGTGAGTTTCAACTGCAGAACATGTATGCTCAGTTGCTGCCTCTTGCTTTGCCTGCACCGCCAATGCCGGGTATGGGAGGAGGACCAGGAATGCCAGGTTATGCACCCGCACCACCAATGGGTGGGATGGGAATGCCTCCAATGCCACCTTTCGGAATGCCACCAATGGGTAGCAGCTATTAACACAGAAAAACCTAGCAAAAAAAAAAAAAACTCGGGAATCGACCATAGATTCTAGGGAGAGTTCAACCTTGCAATTATAGGGGGCTTTTCTTACATAAATTTTATGCTTCTCCCCCACTTCTTCCTCGATGGGTAAAAAAAAAATTCTTGAATTTTTGTCATTCTGTTCCTGTTTTATAGTGTTATGGACTTGTCTTGTAATATTCTTTCGGTAGCGCAGGCATTTTTTTAGGATGCTGGTGCAGCAACCTGAGGGTTCTGTATTTAAAGATTCTTTTTTTCTCCTCCACTGTAGCCTGCCCTTTCATTAGGAAATGCTGCTTTGAACGACGATAAAAACTAGATTCATAGAATTATCTGTCTTTGTTTGGTTCCCTTTCCATTCTTTTGTCGATGGATATTTGCCTTATGTTTCATCGGTATTCTTTGAGTGAGGACTTTCATTTTGTACTTCTGCTGTGGATCATTCTTTCTCAATTTTCATGAGCTTGAAAATTACTGAGTTCACAACTTTATCGTTCTTCCCGAGTAATTTCCATTTGAATATTCTGTTTTATGGGTGAATGGATAAAGTGGTAATGTGAATTTCAGTATCATTTTCTATTATTTTCTTTTAGTCGTGTCTGTAGTTTGTTATAGATAACATCCCAATGCTTGAAGAAGGGATATCCATGGACATACGGACTGGAACCTGAGCAAAACTCAACTTCTATTTAAGTTTTATATTATTTACAAATCAGGGGAAGAGATTTAGCACTGCATTATGCCAATTTTCTGCTATGTAGGAAATACTCGGTCAATGACAATGGTGCTCATTTCTACTGGGTAAAACTCTTTTCACATTGAAGAGAAATTCAAACATTTCAGGACATGAAATTACGTACTCAAGTTTTGTTTACTGTTTGTGAGAGTAACAATATATATTGTTTATTTGGGAATTCAACAAATGTAGTAGAAAATCAAGGGCAACAAATAATTTATCTACTGGCTTGAATTAGCAAAATAATGCATGGACCAACTTCACATGTTGATTCCAGTCATCCGTTACAAATTTAGCAGAAAAGAACAACAATAAATTATTTTGAATTGATAGAATATTTTGTGTAATCTAATTTATTTGAACAGCTCTCTGATAAGAGTCGTAACGTTTATCCAAGTTGCAGAGTTGCGGCTGCAGAGGAGAGGAGAGAAAGGGGCAATTATATGGTGGACAAGAACACGTTAGAGTTGTATCATTGAAAACGCAACCTTGGGATTTGCCACATTTTCCTTGCATCTATTGCCGACGAAATTATTCCTCTCGTTTCTCATCCCTATCCATATCCCTATCCCTATCCCTATCCACTCGCCACACTCTTCTCATCTACCTGAAATAAATGGTGCCCAGAAAAATCTCCTCTTCTGCTCATGGCCTGTTCCAAATCTACAGGATCATCCAGTTAAAAAAGAGTTAAAATCATGGGCACCACATGATTTTGAGATGGGACTTTTGTAAATTTGAGTAGTTTATCAGAAGTCTTTATCAATCTTTAATGTCCTCTTTACATTCAATTACAATGTTTGTGCAAAAGGGGGCCCTACATTATGGCCCTACTTTTTGCATTGCACTTCAAGCTTTGTTGTTTGCTTCTGTAAAGGAAGACTACTGAGTTTCTTTTTGAACAAGCCGATGTGGGAAGGCCCTCTTTTCTCTCTCTCTTCTTTCTCTTGAGGAATCCAACTCAGGAGATGAGGCTATGATTGGTGAAGTTGTTGAATGTTTCCTTTTTCCCTGTTTTTATCTTTTACGTGACTACACTGTAAACAGGCACATCCACAAAGCTACATGAAAAGTGGCCTACAAAAACATCCATAAATTCCTTAGAAACATGGAAAACCTGTTTGATATGGAGGGTAAGGGCCTGATTTTAGCTGTGAGATCCCACGTCGGTTAGAGAGGGGAAACAAGCATTTTTTGTAAGGGTATGGAACTTTCACCAGTAGATGCGTTTTAAAAATCTTGAGGGAAACTCCGAAAAAGAAAACCCAAAGAAAGCAATATCTGCTAGCGTTGGGTTTGAGCTGTACAAATGGTATCAGAGCCGGACACCGGGCGGTGTGCCAACAATGACAGTGGGCACCTAAGGGGCGTGGATTGTGGAATCTCACATCAATTGAAGAGGGGAAGACGCTCGATCCCCAAGGGGGTGGATTGTGAGATCCCACATTGGTTGGAAAGGAGAATGAAACATTCCTTATAACAGGGATGTGAGAAACCTCTCCCAAGACTTGTTTTAAAACCTTGAAAGGAAGCCCATAAGGAAAGTCCAAAGAGGACAATATCTGCTAGCAGTGGACTTGGGTTGTTACAAATGGTATTAGAGCCAAACACTCAATGTGTCAGCGAGGACACTAGGCCCTCAAAGAGGGTGGGTTGTGAGATCCCGCATCGGTTGGAGAGGGAAACACAACATTCTTTATAAGGGTAGGCTTGGGTTGTTACAAATGGTATCAGAGCCAGACACCCGGTGTGTCAACGAGAACATTGGGCCCCCAAATGGGGTGGATTGTGAGACCACACATCGGTTGGATAGGGAAACGAAACATTCCTTTATGGGTGTGGAAACTTGTGTGCCAAACGAGGACGTTAGTCCTCAAAGGGGGTGAGTTGTGAGATCCCTCATCGGTTGGTGGGGAACAAAGCATTTCTTATAAGGGTAGGCTGAGGTTGTTACAAATGGTATCAGAGCCAGACACCCAGTGTGTCAGCGATGACGTTGGGCCCCCAAATGGAGTGGGTTGTCAGATCCCACATCGGTTGAAGAGGGGAACGAAACATTCCGTATAAAGGTGGGCTTGGGCTGTTACAAATGGTATCAGAGCAAGACACTGGATGGTGTGCCAGCGAGGACATTGGACCCCAAGGGGGTGGATTGTGAGATCCCACATTAGTTGGAGAGGGGAAGGAAACATTCCTTATAAAGGTGGGCTTGGGCTGTAACAAATTGTATCAGCGCAAGACACCGGGCGGTGTGCCAGCAAGAACGCTGGACTCCAAGGGAGGTGAATTGTGAGATCCCACATCGGGTGGAGAGTTGAACAAAACATTCCTTTAAGGGTGTAGAAACTTGTGTGCCAGCAAGGACGCTAGGCCCTACGAGGATGGATTGGGAGATCCCACATTGGTTGGAGAGGGTAACTAGACATTACTTACAAGGGTGTGGAAACCTGTGCCAGCGAGGACGTTGGACCCTAAGAGGAGTGAATTGTGGGCTTGGGCTGTTACAAATGGTATCAAAACCAGACACCAAGTAGTGTGTCAGTGACGACACTGGACCCCAAGCGGGGTGAATTGTGAGGTCCCACATCGATTGGAGAGGGGAACAAAATATTCCTTTAAGGGTGTGGAAACTTGTGTGCCAACGAGGATTCTAGGCCCTACGGGGGTGGATTGGGAGATCCCACATTGGTTGGAGAGGGGAACGAAACATTCCTTATAAGGGTGTAGAAACTTGTGTGCCAGCGAAGACACTTGGCCCTAAAGGGGTGGATTGTGAGATCCCCACAACGGTTGGAAGCGAGGACGGTGGGCCCTAAAGGGATTGATTGTGAGATCCCACAACGTTTAGAGAGGGGAACGAAACATTTCTTATGAAGGTGTGGAAACCTGTGTGCTAGCGAGGACGCTAGGCCTCAAGAGGGGTGGATTGTGAGATCCCACATCGGTAGGAGATGGGAGTTGGAGAGGGAACGAAAACGAAACATTTCTTATAAAAGTGTGAAAACTTGTGTGCCGAACGTTAAGCCCCAAGGGGGGTGAATTGTGACATCCCACATCAATTGGAGAGGGGAATGAAACATTTCTTATAAAAGTGTGGAAACCTGTGTCCCAACAAGGACACTGGCCCAAGGGAGTGGATTGTGAGATCCCACATCGGTTAGAGAGGGAAACGAAACATTTTTTATAATGGTGTTGAAACGTATGTGTCAGCCAGGACGCTGAGCCCCAAAGGAGTGGATTATGAGATCCCACATTGGTTGGAAAGAGGAACAAAACATTCCTTATAACAATGTGGGAACCTCTTTCTAGCATGCGCGTATTAAAAACCATTAGGAAAAGTCTAAAAAGAGAGAATATCATGAAGTTTGAGGAGAGATTCAAATCTGAGTACCTGTTCTTCCTCTGTGCTTTAAATTTTCTTCAATATGAATAGATAAGATTGAAAGGGAAAGAAAGGAAAAGTTTTTGCTGTGGCCCATGAAAGAAATCGCCACAAATCCTAATGGGTGGGAGTAGATTGTGTAGGGAGGAAAAAAAAGAAGTTTCAGTGGAAGTTATCCCCAAATCAAAGATCATCTAGATCTGCCACTGTTTTCAGGTAAATATGGTATTGGGATCTCATTAACTTCAACAGTTGCTCGAGTTCTTGGGTATGCTGCTTTGTTTATGGGATATATTGTTTCGTGTTTTCTCAACTTAAAACAGTCGCTCTAATTTGGTTGGTAGTGGTCTTTAATTGATCAGATCGTGGAGGCTTAGCTTTATCAAAGGGGGGAAGAACAGGAACTTCAAACTGAAATGACAGGCAAATATAGCCTTATATGATTTTCGTTTTGAAAAATTAAAGGCTATTGGGCATCACACAAATCACCATCAAGATTTGAAGATCGCACACATTATTATTAGTGCAATCAACAGTAGCTCTCCAGATGCAACCATAAAAACCAAACTTTGAGTCGGACTTCAGAAACATTGACCCAGCCTCTCTTTTTCATCAGTTATGGAGAAGAACTGGGATTTTTCTTCTACTAAGCCTGAGGGGCTAAATTGGGCTCTTTGCAATGGCAATTCAAGCCGTGAACCTTCTCTGCTTCTTCCATTTATGATTAATCCTCAGCTTTCAAGCTCAACCAAGGTTCAGTTTGATGGATTTCCTTCATTTTCAACTTCAACAGAAGGAATGATTGCTGACGTTAGAGCAGTTTCTGCTTCCAAGAGCCATAGCCAAGCAGAAAAGAGGCGTAGGGACAGAATCAATGCTCAACTGGCGACTCTTAGAAAAATCATTCCCAAGTCTGATAAGGTACTCTTGCTCTCTCTAGCCCTTTCTCTTTCCAACAGGACGACCAACTCAGTTCAAGTTTTCTGTGTTAAGTTGGGGATAAAAATTATGTTCAAGAAATGATTGTTTCTATGAGATCTCACATCGATTATAGATGAGAAAGAAACGTTCTCTAAAAGGCTATATAATCTCTCCCTAGATGACGTGTTTTAAAAACTTTTAAGGAAAGTTCGAAAGAAAAAGCCTAAAGAAGACAAAATCTGTCACTGATAAAGTTGCTGAGTAGTTCATCTTCTTAAGAAACATATTTTTGTACCTCAAAGAGAAAACTCTGCAGCACATGTTCAGACTCATCTTCTTATTTCCTATGGCAGATGGACAAGGCAGCTCTGTTGGGAAGTGCAATCGATCAAGTGAAAGACCTGAAGAGAAAAGCAATGGAAGTCAGCAAGAACATGACAGTTCCAACAGATGTGGATGAATTAACTATAGATTCTACCATGGTTGAAGACAACAACAGGAACAATATTGCAATAAAGGTATCAGTGAGCTGCGACGATCGGCCAGAACTGTTCGCAGAGCTCATCCAAGTGATCAGGGGGCTGAGGCTCACAACCATAAGGGCTGATATGGCTAGCGTTGGCGGCCGCATTAAAAGCATACTTGTCCTTTGCAATAAAGATGGTGAAAAAAATGTGTGCTTGAAAACTGTTCAACAGTCTCTTAAATTGGTTTTAAGTAGAATATCGTCCTCCTCGGCCACCTCAACCTGTCGTATCAGAAGTAAACGACAGAGGTTCTTCCTCCCTCCTCATTATTCCAAGTAATTTTTCTTCTCATAAATGTCTTAATTTGAGCGCGGATTGAACACAAATGACGAGAAGGTAAAAGACCGAGACTTTTAAAGCCTGTGGAGAACTGAAGCTGTTGCAGCCACAATATGTCTCTCCATGTAAAGAGTCTTGCAAACGAGAAAAAATTGATTATATTCTTTTACGTCTGGATGACAGAAGTTGTGGGATAGTTATTTAGCTATGAAGTTCAAATTTTGTGTCACTTGTTCCACGCCGAAGTTCGCAACAAATTTGAACCGGATTTTGCAAACGTTGATCCACACGCCATATAATTACTCAAAAGAAAGATCCTTCGCTAGAAGTTCATTCTTGCATAGATTTTGTGTTATTAATAATGGCTTTTCGCATTATTCGCTTCCAACATTAATTACTGTCACTACGATATTAGGTAGAGTACGGGGAAATTAAAACACTCAGATATCACAAAGCAAAACCTATAACACAACAGTTTGAAAATGAGCTGAGTGCACTATGCGAGATCGTGAACTCGTAGGATACTAATCTGAGGATGATGTGTTTGATACAATCGTTCTATTGGGAGACAGAAAGTATTGACATGAGACAACTAGAAGAAAAATGGATCTAAAAACCATCCTTAAACCGATTCTAAACGAGTAGTGGCATTGATCTCCAGTCGTAAACGCAATCAATTTCAGCGTTCCCATTCTTAAACGTGCCAAGTCATTGCTACTTTGTTCGTGGAGGCATGAGCAATTAAGGTTAGGGATTCATTCATATTTGAACTGAAAGAATGTTTTAGGTTACTGGTGGAATCAACAGATAATTCAACGGAAATTTCAGAAACTCCAGACAGCAAATTGAATAATGTAGATCAAAGTGCGAGGAAGTCAAATAAAATTGCGCATTGAAACTAAAAAGAACTTAATAAAAAACACGAATTGGAACTAATACTCTATTCCTAGATCAGTAGCGACTAAAAGAACGATTCATTTTTTATTTAAAGAAAGACACAAACTACTTGGATCTTTGCCTCATCTTTCGGCGCTTCCTCTTCAATCTCCTCATTCTCTTCTTCTTCCACTGGTAAATCGAAACAAAAATGCAAACAAACAATAAAAAAAATCAACAAGAGAACCAAGCAATACGAACATAAATAATTCATTAAAAAACCTTTTCACTTACCTTCGCCCTCATGTTGAAGACCTGCTAATCGATCTGATACAGAACAAGAATGGCCTCAGAGACAAACGACGGGCTCGACAACGTTCTAGAGGCAAAGGCTGCGGATTACAATATATAGTGAGAAACCCTAATTTAAAGCCGGCTTGAACTTTGGTGGGCCACAACTTGGGCCGTTTATGGGCCTAATAAACGACTGAAGTAGCCCAATGATAAAACCTGGACCAGAAAAATATTCTTGCCTTTTTTTTCAAATTAATTTATTTCCTACCATTTAAAAAGTTCAAATCTAGATTCCTTTATCTTTTTTAAAATTTTAATTATAAATTATTAAAATCAGTTAATGAGATATTTTCTTATATAATATTTAGATAATTAGTATAAATTTAGAGAAAAAAACATTTGTGAGAAGAATATTTATAATTTATCAACTAAATTTGTAAAATATTGGTAGCATCTCTTAGCTCAGTTCACGAAAACGTTTATATCTCTTGTATATAATATATATACATCATTAAGTATGGTGTTATACATGGTCATATTTACATTCACTAAGATACAAAATTAAAAAAAATATTAAAATAGAAGGAACAAAATATTTTATTTGGTAAAAATAAAAACTAATTTGGAAAAACCCACAGGATAAAAATTCATTATTTAATAAAGTTATTTATAAACATAAACTAAAATATTCTAATCCACTTTAATCATTGCCTAATCCATAGATAATTCCTTCCCTTATCTCCTTATAAATATATATAAAAAATAAATAAAAATAATCAGAACCGCCTTACCATAAGTTCTTTTGTGATAGATTCTTTAAAAAAAAAAAAAAAAAAAAAAAAAAAAAAAAAAAAAAAAAAAAAAAAAAAAA